GGGGCGGGCTGCCATATATCATGAATCAACATATAACAGTATCAACAGTTATATTTGTATCTTTGCTTTGCCTCAAAATCCATCAAGCAATCCTCAGAGCGGTATTTTGAACACTGCGCTCACATGCGAGTCTTAAGGCAAAGGCAATTTGTTTGCTGTGTGAAACCCCAAATAGCTGTTCGATCGAAATGTAAAATAGGAAGTGCGGATTCAATTCTGCAAAGCATACTTTAAAAAAAAAACAAATGGTGATGAATAGTACATGTAAAATTGTCTTCATTAGTTAAAACTAGGTGCTATCTTAATACAGTAATACCTGCACGTAAGTGTTTGCCTCTATATGTACGCTGGCTCTACATGTATCAAATTGGGCATAAAATGCACAGATGAGCATACGACCATGGGCCTCTTATGTTAGTATTTCAAATAATAAATTCTTTCCCAGTCTGAAGTCAAAGATTTTAATACAGTAATTTCTGAGTTTAGAAGAGAAATTTCAGAAAAATGTTTTTCTGTAAAGAAAAAGAAATCCACCTAATTGGAAAAATTGGAAAAATTCCGAAACCTTATTGCACATCTCCAATCATCTTGCAAAAGATGAAATAGCTACTGCGTAGAATGTAAGATTTCTGGAAACCAGGTTTTTGTAAAAGAAAAAAACCCTTTTTTCGACCCCCATCTGGCCCCCAGGCTGAAAAGGAAAATCATGAAACAACAGAACAGTCAACACCATTTATTTCTTTCCGAAAGATGATTTAGCTACTGGGTAAAATGTATGTGGAATTCTGGGAATCGGGTTTCTGTGGGGAAAAAAACGAAATTGTTTACCCCCATTTGAAAATGAAAATGAAGCCTTATTGCACATCTTGACAAACACCACCAAATGTTTTCCCATAAACTTCCATACAAAGTTGAGCCCCTGTCAATGATTCATATATTGAAATTTGGGCAAATGCCTTACTTTCCATGAAAGTTCGAGATCTTGCAAAACAAAACATACAAGAAACAAGCATTCTGAGAGTATTGCATTAGCAATACTAGTCCCCTACCGGCAAGTGTAATCTGGTTCCCGTTAAGAATTGAAAATGCCATAATTCCGTCAAAAATCAATGAAGCAGGACGAAATGCAAACTTGATCTATATCTAATCAAGGTAAAGTCACATACTAAAAATCAACTCAATATCGGAAAGCGTTTAGAAGAAAATTGCGGAAAACCCCTAAAAATTGAAAAGGCCGTAATTCCGTCAAAAATCAATGAAGCGGAACGATATGCAAACTTGATCTGTAACTCATCAAAATACACTCACATACCAAAAATCAGCTCAATATCTGCAAGCGTTTAGGAAAAAAGTGCGCAAAGCCAAGTGGGACAGACTGACAGACAGACAGACGGACGGACAGACTCAGAGGAAACCTATAGTCCCCTCCGGTTTCACCGGTAGGGAACTAAAAAAATGTACCGTGCCGCGGCATTTTTACTTTCAAATTCCATTTGTTTACAACTAGATGCATTCAGCACCAAAGGAAAATCTCCAAGCGAAGTGCATCCCTCCATTCAAACTTTTACCTTTAACTCCTATATATCTCAAAGAAACCTAAGTCTTGATGTGAGATTTTTAACACCTTTATTTCACTTGTCAAATTTTCTCTTAATGACCAATCATGTGCCATGTAGCATTTTCTTCTCGCACAACTTTGGGTGTGATTATGTATAGGTGTTTTTCCATCTAAAGGACACCACCAATCACATTTCAAAAGATGATTTACCTACCGACTAAAATGTAAAAGGAGCTTTGGGAACAATGTTTTTGTAGACTAAAACGTTGTTTTTCAACTCTCATTTGGACCTCAGGAAGAAAATGAAAAATCTAGAACCGTATTGCACATCTACAGTACACCATGGTCACCATCTGTCATTTTCCAAAAGATGAATTGGTTACTGCTTAAATTGTAAGAGGGATAAGAGAAAGAAGGTAGTGTAACTGACGGACGAACTAGGACAACAACAACAAGCATTCTGAGAGTATTGCATTAGCAATACTAGTCCCCTACCGGCAAGTGTAATCTGGTTCCCGTTAAAAATTGAAAATGCCATAATTCCGTCAAAAATCAAGGAAGCGGAATGAAATGCAAACTTGATCTATAACACATCAAGGTAAAGTCACATACCAAAAATCAGCTCAATATCTGCAAGCGTTTAGAAAAAAAAAAGTGCGGAAAACCCTGAAAAATTGAGAAGGTCGTAATTCCGTCAAAAATCATTGAAGCGGAACGAAATGCAAACTTGATCTGAAACTCATCAAGATACACTCACATACCAAAAATCAGCTCAATATCTGCAAGCGTTTAGAAGAAAAGTGCGCAAAACCAAGTGGGACAGACAGAGGGACAGACAGACAGACAGACGGACGGACAGACTCAGAGGAAACCTATAGTCCCCTCCGGGACTAATAAACGAACTTTCGTTAGAAATTTCGCATTTTCAAAGAAATTTGTCCAATTTCAAGTTCGTAGCGACGGTTTCAAAAAAAAAGGGGGGGGGCAACTTCCCCAAAAAAATCTGACAAATAAAAAAAAAAATAATTGACAGTCCAAATCGTGTAAATTACCAGTGCTCAGCCTTACTGCAACAAAGGGGGGGAGGGGGGTGCAACCAGCTTATAAAGGAAAATTTACTATAGCAAAATACTATACTCGGAAAAAGTGGGGGGGGGAGCAGCCCCCCCCCCCCCCGCGTTGTACGGGCCTGAATTTTGATTTCATGGCAACGGCGACTATTAAGGAAAATTTATTTTAACCCCATAAACTGGGGGGGGGGGGGGATAATAACCGTATTATGCAGTTTGAGCAATAGAATGCCCCCCCCCCCCCCAACATCTGAAGGGGTAAAGACAAAGGCTTATATATCGATAAACGCTGCGTACATGTACATGTACGTCTACAGCTTTGTTTTTCCATGAAAGAAGTGAAGGTGGGATGGGGTTAAAATCTATGGATTATAACACCTTTTCATCAAAACGTGCATCATTGAGGGAAGAAAGACAACTATTGCATGTACGTATATATACACTAGGAAAGTCGAGTTATCTCCTACTCTATATGGTTATAGTGATTGTGAAAATTTCTGTTTCCCTCAACCTTGTGAAATTTCTAGTAGCCTATCAATCTTCGATTTACTCAATTTTTTTTTAATATAGCCAAAACCGCATTCATTTATTACTGACAAATAAGACAATAAATTCAAATTTCAAAAATTTAGTTCTAAAGGGGGTCATCTTAGTTGATGTTATGGTCGCTTTATTTAACAAAAGTTACATGCATCGGTTTAGAAAACATGAAAGTAGTGTCGTATGAAAATACATAAAAGCTTACATGAACAGCACATAGAAGACTTATAAATTAACGCAGATATGGAATAAGGATAAGCTTTAAAAAAAAGGGGGGGGTAACAAGATGTAAAACTTGACCTGTGTACAAATTTATTCCTTTTCAATTCCATCCTATCATAACGTTTCTAACAGTGCTTGATCAATGCAGGATTTTGTGTTTAAGGGGGCAGCGGTCAGACTTAAAACTGGTTTGGTGTATGCAATGTTTTCAAATCGCGTTCATTAGTATGCACGGGGCAAAGCCCTTGGAAACTTTTTTTTATCTCACCTGAGCCAAAGGCTCAATTGAGCTTTTCTGATCAAAATTTGTCCGTTGTCTGTCGTCGTTGTTGTCGTTGTCGTTGTAAACTTTTCACATTTTCATCTTCTCAAGAACCACTGGGCCAATTTCAACCAAACTTGCCACAAAGTATCCTTGGGTAAAGGGGATTCAAGTTTGTTCAAATGAAGGGCCACACCTTCTTCCAAGGGGAGATAATTAAGAATTTGTGAAAAAATAATGGCATCATTAAAAAATCTTCTTCTCAAGAACCACTGTGCTTGAAAATATGAAACTTATGTTGAAGCATCCTCAGGTAGTGTAGATTCAAGTTTGTTCAAATCATGACCCCTGGGGATCGGATGGGGCCACAATGGAGGATCAAAGTTTTACATAGGAATATATAGGAAAAATCTTTTAAAAATCTTCTTCTCAAGAACAGCAAAGCCATGATTGGTCATATTTATATGGTAGCATCCTCAGATAGTGTAGATTCAAGTTTGTTCAAATCATGACCCCCGGGGGTCGGGTGGGGCCACAATGGGCGATCAAAGTTTTACATAGGAATATATAGGAATAATCTTTAAAAATCTTCTTCTCAAGAACAGCAAAGCCGTCATATTTATATGGTAGCATCCTCAGATAGTGTAGATTCAAGTTTGTTCAAATCATGACCCCTGGGGGTCGGGTGGGGCCACAATGGGCGATCAAAGTTTTACATAGGAATATAAAGGAAAAATCTTTTAAAAATCTTCTTCTCAAGAACAGCAAAGCCATGATTGGTCATATTTATATGGTAGCATCCTCAGATAGTGTAGATTCAAGTTTGTTCAAATCATGACCCCCGGGGGTCGGGTGGGGCCACAATGGGCGATCAAATTTTTACATAGGAATACATAGGTTAAATCTTTAAAAATCTTCTTCTCAAGAACAGCAAAGCCATGATTGGTCATGAAGCGTCGTAGTTCATGTCCTCATGAATCTTCAAAAATTAAATTCATTTCTTAACATCACTTTTATTTTTAAGAAAAACACAGGGTCACTTGTACGAATTGTTCAGACCTAGTGTATTGTTACTCGTCTTGATAAAGTACATGTACATAAATTGATACCGATCAGCTAGACAGGTTAAATTTAACTTAAAAAATTGACCTTCAATATTCTAATGTCGGATCTCTTTTTATCACTGCAAAGCGATAATTAATCGTCTAAATTTACGTGCAGCATCAACAGCGATGGACGGCTCTTCATGGGGCGTGCTGAATAAAGACTGCGCGCTTGTTCCCACACCGGCATGATGAAAAACAGCTGATCAAAGCTCGTGGTGGAGGGAAAACCTTTTCTTCACGCTATTTTTGATTCCACGTGTCATAATTTCAGTCCTCTCTGACACGACAGGATGTCCCAAAAGGAAAGGAATTTTTACACCAACGAGGGATAACGTTTAAAAATTTCCTAAGTCTCTAAAGCTTAGAAGGAGTTTAATACTGTCATGGTCTTCGGAAAAAAAGTTTTTACAAGAGATATGATGAGATTTAAGTACATTAACTATGTGAACAGCACAAAAGGCGCGTAAAGGTTCGCATTGTTTAAAGGAACGTGTCACAGGTCCAATGGGGCGTAAAACACCCTGGAAAGACTAGATACTATTGCAGTGCGACTTAAAAAGATCGCCGAAGTCATCATCATCGTACATATAAACATCTGTTGTTCCCCATATCTTACATAGCGAATGACATCGTGTATTGATTCCGAGAGTAGAGCGCCACGGTTTCATGGAGGCATTAAAATCTTACTTTAGTAAATTCAGAAAACATCGGAGTGTTTCGGGAGATAGGGGAATTTCGCCAAATAGGAGGAAAAGAAATAAATTCCGGAAAAGGAGCTTAAATGAAAACCTTTCAGATGAGGAAGAGAAAAATGGAAAGATTGAACATACCGATTTCCACAAGAGTAATGTCTCCGCAGTTACATGTAGGAGTATATATGAAAATCCTCTGTTAAAGGATACTTTGACTAATAGTAGTCCCCAGGAGCATGTGCACAAAGAGAAAATGTCCCCACCTGCCAAACCCCCACGTAAAGACCAAGTGTTTTCTGTAACTTTTCAGGACTTTTTACCACAGGATTTAGGGATAATTGTGGGTCTGACCCAAGATCAGCTGGACTACAGGGCTAGGACCAGACTTCGGAGTGACACTGCAGTAGAAAGCGGGTCACCCTGTGACAAGAATTCTGTTATTCGCATCATTTTCATCAAAGAGGGAAGTGCTGCCAGTGAGAATGGACAAGTTCATGTTGACGATGAGGTCATAAGTGTGAATGGATGGAATATGACCCGAGAAAACACGGGTAGTGCTCGGTAAGGTATTTACCTCCAGGCTTGTTACATGTATATCTTATGTAAGGAGATAAATATTATATACATGAAGTACACCCAGGGGGACCAAGTGTGCACACAACAAATCTGTATATTAACAAATTATTAACATTTGGCAGGAATGAGTTTATCTTGCTTATCTTTTAATAAACATACAGAGAACTTGATTCCTATATAAATATGATAATATCTTTCTTAATGCAGTGTAAATTGGCAACCCTACTGGGTACCACCAAAAGAACTTCATTTAAGCTTTGATCTGTACATGAAGCTTTCTTGACTGCTTTACACAGAAATAGATTATTAGAGAACAAATAATGGTATTTTACATGTATATATAGTTAGTTCATTACTTTGTAATTAACTTGGGAAAGGCTCTCCTCCTTAACATGAAATAGTTAATTATAAATTATATAAAATTAGAAACTATATTGTATCTATTTTTATGAAAATCTGTCTCCTCCATAGCCAATATCATGCACAACACTCATTATCAATCCACTGTAATACTTGAGTATCAGAAATAGCTGTCTCTTATTTAAAGCTACTATATAGTGATATATTCTGATATCTTGGTAAGCAAGATTGTATCAGAAATCACAAGTATGGAAAGAAGTGTGCAAATTGTTATTTTTTACTTACTAACAGACTACATTGTGAGTATTGTGTATCATAGCAAGCCATCAGGTCGCTAGATGTAGAGTATTCTTGCCAGTAAGGGACTTCCCGGACTCAGCAGGTGCTAGTTAACCTGTTAACAAATTCTGATAACACCCCACATATATGTTGGCTCCTGATAAAACCAATCTTAAGATGGTATCTGCTCAATTTATTTATTTCTTCCTCTTTGCTGGAAGATTTTGAAGTAAGGCAGCTATAGCTTGGTTTTTATTGTGAAATTATTTAAATTTTTTTATTATTAGGGTCACCTAGCTTAGAGTTTCCAGGGGTTTTGGTTGAGTTTAGTTTGCTTGGATTCTTGACAGTGATGCAGTTTAACATATGTTTGAGGGTAATAAGCCCTTTTATTATGAGAGATGAGCAATGTGTTGTATATAACCATGAAGTCAAATATAAAAAAAGCAGTATATATTCAAGACAAATGCTTTACGAGATGTGCCAAACATCCTACTAAATCTCAACTATCTCAAGTTTCCCAGAAAGTGGATCATCAAAGGCTTGGCAGATGTTGCAGTAAATTATAACTTATTAACAGAGACAGTTGTTAAAAACCACTTTGGGTTCAATGAAAGGACTCTGTTTGAAATCTTTAGATCCAATTGTCAAAATTTACCATTATGGATATCTGTAATTGGAAAAATAACATTTTAAAATCTACTCTAACGTGTCTTATAACTTTAATAAAATACATTTTGTAAATGTTTGAATCGAAGTTTGAAATTTTTTAGGATTTACAACTTGTAATCTAATGATGATGAATTTTTTTAAAGGAAGTGTACATAATATGAAGTATTCATGTGTATAAATTTTACTTTTTTTTCTGTGAGTAGATTCAATACACAGTGTTTATAAAGCCAGGGTTAATGAGACGGGGTTAATTATGTGATCAGTGATGAAATTAACAGGACAACAACAGAGCTTTGATAATTATCTGGTACACCAGAAAGTGTGGGTGAGTTACTGTTTGCTCCAAACAAGTGATCAGACTGGACATATTAAACAAATCATCTCTGATGTTAAGCTAATTATCTGGCTAACGAACTCCCAGATTTAGAATCCCACTGGCCAGTGGGGTGATGTATGCTGATAACAAAAGCAGGTCCACAGTTTATATCCATAATCTACACTTTGTATTTCATTGAGGTTTTTTTTCAAGAAAATTAAATATGGAAACAAGATAAAAACTGATGTAAAACAAGGGAATGATTCAGTAGACATTCATGCATGTTTTACTTGTTTTTAGCTCACCTGGCTGAGCCAAAGCAGCTTGTTTGATTAAATAACTCCCAAAACTAGGGTTAGGCCTCAATAAAGGTCAAAGTTTGGTTTAGAAATTTAAAAAAAAATCTTTTTTTAAACCATGGAAAAATAGTTTTTTCTAAGAAACAGCAGGGCAACAGTTTTATATTATTTAGTATGTGTATTATTGTTCAAGTCACTTCAAGAATTTCCATGTAATATGGAATCAGCTTTGTTAAAATCATGGACCTAGGGACTAGGATGGGGCTACCATGGCCATATTTTAAGGGAACAAAGTAAGTTTCACACTGAAAAATACTGGGGGAAAATCTTTCAAATTCTTCATCTGAAGAAAAGCAGAGCCATAGTAAGTTAAAATGATGTGTAAACAACTAAACATCCTCTGCAGTGTACAGGGTTGTCCCTAAGAATTGAAATGGGAGGGGACATTAAGAAAGTAGAAGAGGGTCTGGAATTCCTCCCCTAACAAGGGGTTGAAGGGGATACTAGAGTGGCCACGGGATAACGTCATTATAGGCGGGGAAATTCCCCAGCCCCTGGGTCTTGAGGACAACCCTGAGTGTAGATTGAAATTGTTCAAATCATTACCCTGAGAGACTAAGGTTGGATCACAACAGAGAGTCAAATTTTTATACTGAAATTTATAGGATTTTTATAAAAAATTATCAAGAATGACAGGAAGATAATTATACTCCTATAAAAGCATCTCCATGCTGTGTATAGAATCAATTTTATTCTTAGCCCAGGGGACTAGGATGGGGTCACAGTTTGGGGGCAAAGTTTCACATTAGAATGTATATGGAGAGAATATTAATCTAGAATAACTTTCTAAAGAATAGCAAGGCCATGATCAGTTCAATCAGTATAAAGAATCTTTTCATTTAGTGTAGAAAAATTTATTCAAATCTTTGTCCTACAGGATAGGAACTGTACGTGCCATAAATAATCATCAAAGTTTTAGACAGGAATAAATATAATGTACAGTGTAATGAAAAATCTTTAAAAATCATCTTCTCATTAGGGAAATGCCACAGTTAGTCATAATAATAATATACAAGAATCTCAGTATTGTGTAGATTCAAGTTTTTTTTTCTTCAAAGCGTGGCCTTGGGGCAGAGGTTGGGGCTACAGTTTTTTTTCTCAAAAGGAGAGGGGGGGGGGGGCAAAGTTGTAACACACAAATTAATAGACATCTTCAGAAAAACAGAATGCTCCAAGTTGTGAAGTTGACATCTATAGCCTCAATATACTGTAAATAAAATTTGCTGAAGTCATGGACTTCAATTTTGAGATGACAGTAAAGAGTTTTCATATATTTGCATATTCATATTAATTTGTCAGGAAGAGACTGTTGACTCAGGTGGAATGGTGGTCCATGGGCCTCTTTTTTGTTTAGCTTTAAGTACATTATCTCCTATGGGAGGATATAAAGATAGAATAAATAATATCAGAAAATGTTTTAAAAAAGGGAATGTTTTTGTCATGAGCAAAAAGTAGACATGAAGAGGTCCTTGAAGGAAAAAAACTTTTCATATCACTTTCTGTTAGTTCTGATGCCTATTCTTCTTTCATAAAATGCCCTTCCTTGTCTCCAGTTTGAGGACTTTCTCCAATAATTTTGTGTTTTTCATATATATCTCAGATAACATAGTTTGTCTCTCTATAAGACTAGAATGGATAAGAGTCGAAACATTGAATTTTAATGGTTTATTACATTTTATCCCCCCCCCCTTTTACTTGCTTTGTTGATAATCTTTTTTAAAATGTAGTACATTTGTATTATACAATTATTGACTTTTGATGAGGTCTACTTTTAACTATATGGACCTGGTCAGGTATTGTTTGACCAAGGCTGAAGGCTAAGTAAAGGCTGTCGGAATTGAAAAAAACATACCTTACATTTGACATTGTTTTTTTTTTTCAGTTGAGAGCTGATTTTTTCATACCCCATGCAACAAGTTGCGGGGGGTATAATGTTTCTGACCCGTCTGTCAGTCAGTCCGTCAGCCCTTTTTTTTTTGACAGCGCAACTCCTCATAAGCAGCTGCACAGAATTTCGTCAAACTTTGCAGATATTTAAGACACAATGTGTAGATGTGCATATTACCAGGAAATTCTGATTCCTTTATTTTCTCTGGGAATTTCAGCACTTTTCAACTTAGATTTTTGGCCATATCTTGAATATAGAGATGAACAGTTTGTCAGCGCAACTCCTCTTAAACCGCTGCACAGAATTTGGTCAACTTTGCAGATATTTAGGACACAATGTGTACATGTAGATGTGCATATTACCAGGAAATTCCGATTCCATCATTTTTCTGGGAATTTCGACACTTTTCAACTTAGATTTTTGGCCATATCTTGAATATAGAGAGGAACAGTTTGTCAGTGCAACTCCTCTTAAACCGCTGCACAGAATTTGGTCAACTTTGCAGATATTTAGGACACAGTGTGTAGATGTGTATATTACCAGGAAATTCCGATTCCATTATTTTTCTGGGAATTTCGGCACTTTTCAACTTAGATTTTTGGCCATATCTTGAATATAGAGATGAACAGTTTGTCAGCGCAATTCCTCTTAAACCGCTGAACAGAATTTGGTCAAACTTCGCAGATGTTTAGTACACAGTGTGTAGATGTGCATATTACCAGGAAATTTCGATTCCTTTATTTTTGCCCTAAGAGTTTTGCCTATTATTGAAGAAACTTTCCAGCTAGGTAATAAGGAAATCTACTGGAATCAGCTTTTGTAATGAAATTTTATGTGAAATATTTTATGACCTTAAAAGACCCCTATTGATTTTGAGATCAAAATATTTATGATTTAACACACACACACACACAAAATCTTGGATAGTTCCCCCCCCCCCCCCCTTCCCTCTCAAATTGGTGTTTTGCCTTAAATAATTTCATAAGTACAGTTTATAAACAAATTCATATGACTACATCATAATTTTGTTTCCATCAATTATTTAAATGTGTAAATTGTCATGTGTTGGACATGGACTTACACTCATTAAGAAATCGAAATCACTGAGGAA